ATGATAATAAATGTTGGACAAGTATTGGTGGTCAAAGGATGATGGTAATAAATGTTGGACAAGTATTGGTGGTCAACAAAGGATGATGGTAATAAATGCTGGACAAGTATTGGTGGTCAAAGGATGATGGTAATAAATGTTGGACAAGTATTGGTGGTCAACAAAGGCTGATGGTAATAAATGTTGGACAAGTATTGGTGGTCAACAAAGGATGATGGTAATAAATGCTGGACAAGTATTGGTGGTCAAAGGATGATGGTAATAAATGTTGGACAAGTATTGGTGGTCAACAAAGGATGATGGTAATAAATGTTGGACAAGTATTGGTGGTCAAAGGCTGATGGTAATAAATGTTGGACAAGTATTGGCGGTCAACAAAGGATGATGGTAATAAATGCTGGACAAGTATTGGTGGTCAACAAAGGATGATGGTAATAAATGTTGGACAAGTATTGGTGGTCAAAGGATGATGGTAATAAATGCTGGACAAGTATTGGTGGTCTCCACCCTCACACCACACGAGTGACCCCCCTCCACCCACACACCACCCGAGTGACCCACCCCCTCCACTCACACACAACCCCAGTGACCCACCCTCCACTCACACACCACCCGAGTGACCCACCCTCTACCCACACACCACCCGGGTGACCCCCCTCCACTCACACACTCCCCGAGTGACCCCCCTCCACTCACACACAACCCCAGTGAGTCACGTCTAAAGCAAGTTCCCCGTGCACCCCCCGACCCCAGCGTGGCCAGATTTCTCTAGCGCGGCCTGCTGATGTTGTCTTTTTTGTCTGTTTGATCAGCGCGGCTCTTATTTCATGTTGTAGTGTAGTAGTGTAGTGTACTGATGGCTGGAGGTTCTCACCCAGCCAGCGTCCTAGTGGTTCTCACTGGGGCCACACTTGAGTCGGGTCACGAGTTTTTTTGTAACATGAGAGACACTATTGACACGATAGTGACGGAACAGTTTTTGTGTCGTCTGTCTGTGCGTGTGAGAGAGAGAGTGGGGTGGGGGGGAGGGGGGTTAAGGCTTCTGTACTTTGATTTTTACAAGACCACATAAATTATGTTAATTAAAACATGGCGGCAATACTGTGAGGGCACTGGGTTGAGACGTTCAGTTTACACTGTGTATAAAGACTGACGTAACAATGTCTACAGCCGTAGCCGCATGACAACTGATGACGTAACAATGTCTCGGGTCTGATAAGTTTATACAACTTGACACAGGATGATATTAAATTAATTTAAAAAAAATAAAGCTCCCGTACCCAATACAAGACTCCCCACCCTACAAAGAACCCCAGTGTCTCCCCATAGCGCCCCACAGCCCCCATAAGGCACGGCAGTCTCCGCACCTTACATGGGGCGCCGCCATAATCGTACCAGTTTTTCATGGTGCGCAGTTTAAGACGGACCAGACTACATACGCGTCAAACAGGCTGGGCACACCTACTACACACATACGCTTCTTGGGTCTGATGGTCCGTGTCATACAGCAAGCAGTAGGCTGTAGGTCTGACAATCACATACACCTGCAGCAGTCTGACAATCACATACACCTGTAGCAGTCTGACAAATCACATACACCTGTAGGTCTGACAATCACATACACCTGTAGCAGCCTGACAATCACATACACCTGCAGCAGTCTGACAGTCACATACACCTGTAGCAGTCTGACAATCACATACACCTGTAGCAGTCTGACAATCACATACACCTGCAGCAGTCTGACAGTCACATACACCTGTAGCAGTCTGACAATCACATACACCTGTAGTTCTGACAATCACATACACCTGTAGCAGTCTGACAATCACATAGACACGTGTTAAATTTAACGTGTACCCCTGTAAGATTATCAACAAGAGACGCGTTAAATCTGTATCTCTTTGACAACTGTAATCCCCTTTACCACAGAAAATAAAGGATTCTAAAAAAAGAAGCTAACTTGTCATTTGGGAAAACCCAAACGGCTGAATTATAACAGACGCAGATTGTGCAGGTCTTTGGGACTTAGTTTTGTTTTTTACCCTAGTCCTTGGTAAAGATAGATAAAATGCATACAAATGTTTTAATAACAAGCTAACATTTAATAATTGACTAAAAAGAAGAAAATTAAATTATTTTTTATTTTAATTTTAATAATAATTAACTACTATTTAAATAACTTCAAAGAAAAGCGTGGGTCACTATAATATCGATTACCTTTACTAAAAAGTAATCTTTAGGAGGAGACTCGCGCTTTTCTTTATAGTTATTTAAATAGTACCGGATTACTATATATAAAGAAAATAATTTAAAAACTGTAATAAAATAGAGTTTCATGACTAAAAACTATAGCGCACCAAATGAACATGAAAATGCGCTATATAATAGTGCGGTAAATAGTAACCCCCCCCCTCCCTTACTTTATTTAGGAAATTTTAATTAACTCATACAAATAATTAATTAGGCATCCAAATTAAGTCAAATTTGATGTCAGACTGCATTGTCATCGGGCCTTGACCCACGTGCCTAGTTTGAAACGAATCGGTCAGTTAGAAGTGATCGAGATTTCGCTCCGCAGTTTCAATCCATGACGACAGACAGAGGAAGCAAGTTAGATAAAAGTAAAAGCTTGTAAAAAGAGCAACCATTTTTTAAAGTGTGATTTTCTTCTTGGTCGATGTGTAAAATATTTCTAAAGCGGAGAGCACGAAGATACACAATTAAATGCGCGGACAGAGAATAAACGCCAGTTGTACACGGCCTGTCTCCATTCATTGAGGAAGAAAATATACAATTAAATATGACAACTTTGGATGCGGGGCACCATCTCTTCTCCGATGTAAAGGAGTATTAGCGAGTTCTAAAGGCATTGTGGGAGTCAGTGACCCGACATGAGCAGATGACGTCATGAATCGTCATTACAAAATGGTGCCATGTTTAGTGGGTTTGTTCTTTGTGGTCTTGGTGGGTTTATCATAGCTGGTTTTATTGGGTTTATCATGGTGGTCCTAGTGAGATACCATTGGTGGTCTCGGTGGGTTTATTTATTGTGGTCTTGGTGGTCTTTGTGGTCCTGGTGGGTTTAAACTTTGTGGTCCTGGTGGGTTTATACTTTTAAAAACTGACAGACAAGTCCTGACGAACAAGTTCAAATAACCCCCCAAAAATGTGTCAGATCATTTGGACATAATTTTTAACTATTATGTTTTTATCATAAAGAGACAAACTCACACAAAGAGATACTGTGTAACCTAACACGTACACACATAGGCATACACACACACTCCCTCACAACCCGTCAGGTAATGATGACATAGAATATGACTAGCAGGCAGTGATACAACATCTTAAGAATGTCCCCTGGTGTTTGATAGACCACCCCCGCCTTAGAGTAAACCTTAGCCTAGTTGTTACGCTAGCTAGAAGGACGGAATGCTGAGACCCTATTTTATCACTAGCCAAATGTCAAGCCGGTAGAGCCAAAATATGTCAAGGCTTGGTCGATTCACAAAAATATGAATGGGGGCACGGAATTCCCCATGTTGTTGGGTGTCAGTTAGTGCGGGCTTGTTTTTTTCCTTCAAGTCTAGAGCACACCACTGCACACATGGATCTTACTAACACATCACTTTAGACATCTTAAACGCATATATTTTAAAGAATACATGAATCCTAAAACATACATATATCTTAAAACATACATGTATTCTAAAACATAAATGTAGTCTAAACCGTATATAACAACATAGATGTATCCTAAAATATACATGTATCTTATAACTATAACATAGATGTATCCTAACGTAAACACCATGTATTTAAACAAACGTAGAGTTAAAGGCTGGATGTTTGAATGGAGGCCCAGGCGATGACGTAATCAAAATAAATAAGCTCGAAGATAAACAATAACAAATCACGCGATATGTAGTGCTAGCACTAAACACACGATGTATGTAGATCTAATGCCAGCACTAAACACACAATGTATGTAGATCTAGCACTAAACACACGATGTATGTAGATCTAGCACTAAACACACGATGTATGTAGTGCTAGCACTAAAGACACGATGTATGTAGTGCTAGCACTAAACACACGATGTATGTAGATCTAGCACTAAACACACGATGTATGTAGATCTAGCACTAAACACACGATGTATGTAGTGCTAGCACTAAACACACGATGTATGTCGTGCTAGCACTAAAGACACGATGTATGTAGTGCTAGCACTAAACACACGATGTATGTAGATCTAGCACTAAACACACGATGTATGTAGTGCTAGCACTAAACACACGATGTATGTAGTGCTAGCACTAAACACACGATGTATGTAGATCTAGCACTAAAGACACGATGTATGTAGATCTAGTGCTAGCACTAAAGACACGATGTATGTAGATCTAGCACTAAACACACGATGTATGTAGATCTAGCACTAAACACACGATGTATGTAGATCTAGTGCTAGCACTAAACACACGATGTATGTAGATCTAGCACTAAACACACGATGTATGTAGATCTAGCACTAAACACACGATGTATGTAGATCTAGCACTAAACACACGATGTATGTAGATCTAGTGCTAGCACTAAACACACGATGTATGTAGATCTAGCACTAAACACACGATGTATGTAGATCTAGCACTAAACACACGATGTATGTAGATCTAGCACTAGAGACACGATGTATGTAGTGCTAGCACTAAAGACACGATGTATGTAGATCTAGCACTAAACACACGATGTATGTAGATCTAGCACTAAACACACGATGTATGTAGTGCTAGCACTAAACACACGATGTATGTAGTGCTAGCACTAAACACACGATGTATGTAGTGCTTGCACTAAAGACACCATGTTTATGTTGCTACTTGCTAGCTATACTAGAGATGAGAAGATGAGAGAAGGAGCAGAGAGGGGGAGAACTAGAGTGGAAGCTACTAGAGAGGAGATTCATGCTGTAGGAATTTGAAAGTTCCTACCTCTGCCGCTCCTTCCTACAAAGCGTAGATCGTTGAATTTGGCCACCTGGTTCTTCATTGTGGCCGTGTTGTTGCGCAGCTCCGAGCAAAAGTTCTCGTCATTGCCTGCCGTGATGCACACCTTGGTCCCGTCCCTCACCTCGCCGATGGCCACCACTTTGAAGGGGATGGGCAGAGTTTTGTTGGAGCGCCAGTGAGACGGAAGGACAGAGCACATAAAGTTCGGACTCCCGGTTTTAACCAGCTGCTCCCCCGGGTGGTCACTGAGAAGACTTGAGCGGTCAGCCAAGGTGAGGTCAGCCTCGGACATGCTGTAGGGTTTGTTCTCTTGGTGCGGTGTGAAGCCCCTCAGGTCGGCAGGTAAATGCATGAGGGTTTGTTGTTGTTTTCTAGTTGATAAAAAAGTGAGCACAACGTTGAGTAGTCCGATCTCCGCACAGACTGGTCTCTCGCCAGCCCGCGGGTGTTTACTGTAAGCCGCGGTCTCCTCGCCGCCAAGCCATGCGGTTTCTTGCCTGTGTGTGTGTGTACACCGTTTGTGTGCGTGTGTGTGGCGGGCCAAACCAGAGTGGTTTTGCGCCGTTAAGCCACTCCCCCGCACTGCCGCAACACGCCCCATATCACTGCGCCGTGACACCTAGCACTAGAGTTGTAGCCCCGTCCCCCACACCGTTTCCCCCACACCGTTACCACACGCTACCACACAGCCGGTTACAAAATCAACCCCGTATTTTTGCAGCCATCTCGTGAATTAATAAACATAAAAGATCCCAACCTCTAAATCTACTGTTACTGGCCATCAGAATTGTGCTGCTATTTTTCTTGGCGGAACAACACGCCGCCGTAGCTCTCCGTGCAGTCTTGAACTGTTAGTTGTTGCGTGTGGGTGGGTAAGCGGAAACCACAGGATGGTAAGGTATCATCATTCAATCAAAGAGGAAATATTGCACAGGATGGTAAGGTATCATCATTCAATCAAAGAGGAAATATTGCACAGGATGGTAAGGTATCATCATTCAATCAAAGAGGAAATATTGCGAAATTGTCCGGCAGTGTGGGTCGTCGGTCTACCCAAAATAAACAAACTCTTCGCTTTTCCCCACGTCTGGCCAGCAGACTCTGATTCAGTTTTTAAAAAGATCAACGGGAAATGTCGCCGGCAATCAAGGGACGACTTCCGAACTTGCCACCGTCAAATGAATGCTTTGTTGTGGGCGGCCACGTTATGCAATCGGCGGCACCTCATTTTCAATCGAATGAACTGCGCACGTACTTGTAGATCTATCGAGTGGTAATGATTTGTTCAGCGTGAGACACGCAATAACTTGTTCAAAGGTCGGGAACCGGGCGGGGTTGTCGCTTTTGTTGACATACCGCTGTATATACATCTACATTAATTATACTTACCAAGTGACTATTCGGAAGAAACGCCTGCCACCAGCCAGAAGGAAGATGGCTTTGTCTAGTGACACAATCGTTGGTTTAGACAGCTATGACTGGTCTCCCTATAGGGTAAATAAAACATCACTCTGTACATAACATCACCCTTCCTATATAACAGTACCCAGTGTATAAACATCCCATGTGTATGATATATATATATATATATATATATATATATATATATATATATATATATATATATATATATATATGAAAGTGAGGGTGTGTCCTTCATGCATTACATCACCACGAAACTTTGGGAAGTTGTTGAGGATGCTACTGGAAAGGTTTTCACCTGAACACTATAGTGCCTACAATCGCTTTAAAGAGTGCGATACACTATAGATACGATGGGCCACTATATACCGTTAATTAAATTGAATAGGACGCGTTCTCCGGTGCCCCAGACAATGGGACGGAGTGGTCTAGCGGCAGAGAGTTGGACTGCTAACCCGTAAGCCTCGAGTTCGAATCCGGGTTCAAGTCAGTAGACCGTCCCTGAGTCCACCCAACTCTGATGGGTACCTAACTCACGTTAGGGAAAGTAAAGGCCGAGGTCACAGAAACAAGTGAACTCTACTTCACTTGCCCCATAGACCGTCAGGTTTGAAAGGGAAACTTTTTTTTACTACATACCGTTAACTAAATTGAATAGGACGCGTTCTCCGGCGCCCCAGACAAGTTGCTACTTGGCACCCCGGCGTTCCTCCGTGAATACTATAAGGATTACATTCGTTTTAAAGAGTGCGATACAAATTGATACTGCATTGGTTTCTCTATAGTTAGCACGTTTACGTCATTGTGTCACCCCCAGAGTTTCTTCCAGGCATCTCTTCGCCCCCCCCCCCCCGAAAATTTTAAAAAGAGAATTGTAAAAGAAAAAAAAACATGTTGTAATAGCAATAGCAAATCGTTATTCCATTTATAACATTTTAAAAAAGCTGATTATTTAAGATGAAACGCGAGTATGTAATTGTGTGAGGCGGGCGGACTATTTACCTTACTATGGTTCCCTATCCGTGAGTCATTTTAATCTCGCAATCATTAAAAGTATTCACTTTATTTTCTAGTTAACCGGTTGTGTTTTGTGTTTGAGTTGTGTTGTGTGTTATACTGTTTTATTTAATGTGATATGTTATTTGCCTTTTTTTCTAAAAATAATAATTTGATTGTTAAATTGTATCAAATCATGGGTACACAACGAGTGTATATATATATATATATATATATATATATATATATATATATATATATATATATATATATATATATATATATATATATATATATATATATATCTACGCCAAAAACCCCACTCCTACCACTATAACCATAACTCCTCTACTATAAACCAAATACTACATCTCTCCCCTACATTTAGACCCCTCGCCCTTTAGCCTGACCCCAACACTATAACTACCCTCCCCCCATCCATGCACAGAGGGCATATAAATTTATAATTACGAGCTGCTTTGTTCAAGGAGTTAATTTTTTAAATTTGTCATTATCTTTTTATGTAATTAGGGCCTTGGAATGGGAGAAGGCGGAGTTAAAACGAAATTATTAATCAAATGTAATGGTGATTTCTTTCTATAGGCCTACCAGTAGCGTTTTCTTTCTTTTCTAGCGTCCACAGGCCCGGGGATGAAGAGATATGCATATCGTTTTTTATTACAGCACCAACATTTTGTATGATGAAAACAATCAAACGAATATCAGGAATGATTCAAAAGTTTGCAATGAATTTGTTTAGTAATAGAAAACCTAGCAGCTGCCTGGCCTACAGACGCAGGAAAAACTGGCATTAAAAACGGTTCATTCACTGATTTCCCTGCGACTCGAAGCAATGTTTACATCATAATAGGCAGGAACTCCCTGGCCGAGAGAGGGCGCTGACAACAATGGCGCCTGTTCTCGCAGTATGCCATGGACATTGCTACGGCTGGTTGGGTTTTCGCTCAGCAGACGGCATATTGTCGAAAATCGTCTATTATTCTGTTGCCAGTTGACGATTTTTAGTTTCATCATCAGAAGAAAGGTGGAAAGAAGGAGTGAGGCGGGGGATTTGTGGGGGGGGGGGGGGGGGGGGGGGCGTTCGCGGGAACCCACTTCTTAGAAATTCTATTTGCTTTCTGTTTTATTGAAACGAAGCATGTCGAGCTTGAAGTCTGCAGATTGTTTTTGTTACCACTGGGGCTGGGAATTATAATGTTTGAACTGTTTCAATTCCCGTCCCCACACAGTCGCTCACATCAAACTTCAGTGACCTATTCCCTTGTAACCCTAGGCTAGTACTACTGCTACCGTATGCTATATTTTAATTTTTTATTCCCATTTACGTAAAGCAGTGTAGGTTACCAGGGCTAGTCTAAAAATAAGATCATGCTTTTTGTGGTCAATATTCGTGTAGGCTGAAAGAACAAGAGGATGTTCGTGTAGGCTGAAAGAACAAGAGAATATTCGTGTAGGCTGAAAGAACAAGAGAATGTTCGTGTAGGCTGAAAGAACAAGAAGATGTTCGTGTAGGCTGAAAGAACAAGAGAATGTTCTGAAAGAACAAGAGAATGTTCGTGTAGGCTGAAAGATCAAGAGAATGTTCGTGTAGGCTGAAAGAACAAGAGGATGTTCTGAAAGAACAAGAGAATATTCGTGTAGGCTGAAAGAACAAGAGAATGTTCGTGTAGGCTGAAAGATCAAGAGAATGTTCGTGTAGGCTGAAAGAACAAGAGGATGTTCTGAAAGAACAAGAGAATATTCGTGTAGGCTGAAAGAACAAGAGAATGTTCGTGTAGGCTGAAAGATCAAGAGAATGTTCGTGTAGGCTGAAAGAACAAGAGAATGTTCTGGTAAGCTGAAAGAACAAGAGAATGTTCGTGTAGGCTGAAAGATCAAGAGAATGTTCGTGTAGGCTGAAAGAAGAAGAGGATGTTCTGAAAGAACAAGAGAATGTTCGTGTAGGCTGAAAGAACAAGAGAATATTCGTGTAGGCTGAAAGAACAAGAGAATGTTCGTGTAGGCTGAAAGAACAAGAGAATGTTCGTGTAGGCTGAAAGAACAAGAGGATGTTCTGAAAGAACAAGAGAATATTCGTGTAGGCTGAAAGAACAAGAGAATGTTCGTGTAGGCTGAAAGAACAAGAGAATGTTCGTGTAGGCTCAAAGAACAAGAGAATGTTCTGAAAGAACAAGAGAATATTCGTGTAGGCTGAAAGAACAAGAGAATGTTCGTGTAGGCTGAAAGAACAAGAGGATGTTCTGAAAGAACAAGAGAATATTCGTGTAGGCTGAAAGAACAAGAGAATGTTCTTGTAGGCTGAAAGAACAAGAGAATGTTCTGAAAGAACAAGAGAATGTTCTGAAAGAACAAGAGAATGTTGCTGAGGATCCCCGTGAGTGAGGACGATGCTCACCAGTCGTTGTCATGCAGACTCACGTGACTTTCTTTGTTGTCGACGCCACCAGCACCCTTTATGTTTGTTTCAACTCATTTATTATTCCAATCCCCGCCTGGATCATGCAGGTTTTAACCACCCAGCCGGGCTTTCTGCCCACACAAACCTTCGTCTGGCTTGTGGCATAATCAGGCTAGCTTCACAGCCTGCTGTAACTGTTGACTAAATGACATCCCGCGGTAACTGTTGACTAAATGACATCCCGCGGTAACTATCGATTAAATGACAGCCCGCTGTAAATGTTGACTAAATGACAGCCCGCTGTAACTGTTGACTAAATGACAGCCTGCTGTAACTTTGACGAAATGACAGCCCACTGTAACTGTTGACTAAATGACAGCCTGCTGTAACTTTGACTAAATGACAGCCCACTGTAACTGTTGACTAAATGACAGCCCGCTGTAACTGTTGACTAAATGACAGCCCACTGTAACTGTTGACTAAATGACAGCCCACTGTAACTGTTGACTAAATGACAGCCCACTGTAACTGTTGACTAAATGACAGCCCGCTGTAACTGCTGACTAAATGACAGCCCGCTGTAACTGTTGACTAAATGACAGCCCACTGTAACTGTTGACTAAATGACAGCCCACTGTAACTGTTGACTAAATGACAGCCCGCTGTAACTGCTGACTAAATGACAGCCCACTGTAACTGTTGACTAAATGACAGCCCGCTGTAACTGTTGACTAAATGACAGCCCACTGTAACTGTTGACTAAATGACAGCCCGCTGTAACTGCTGACTAAATGACAGCCCGCTGTAACTGTTGACTAAATGACAGCCCACTGTAACTGTTGACTAAATGACAGCCCGCTGTAACTGCTGACTAAATGACAGCCCGCTGTAACTGTTGACTAAATGACAGCCCACTGTAACTGTTGACTAAATGACAGCCCACTGTAACTGTTGACTAAATGACAGCCCGCTGTAACTGTTGACTAAATGACAGCCCACTGTAACTGTTGACTAAATGACAGCCCGCTGTAACTGTTGACTAAATGACAGCCCGCTGTTACCTGTAACTGTTGACTAAATGACAGCCTGCTCTAACTGTTGACTAAATGACAGCCCGCTGTAACACTTGACCCAAGACAAAAACTATGAAATAATGTGTTAAACTATGTGCCCAAATAATAATAATATACAGAACAAATGGTGGCAGATAAATAATTTATTAAACTATGTACACAAATCTTAATATACTGAACAAATTTTGGCAGATAAAAAGTCTCCTCTGCTGCACAGTTTGACTGTCAAAACACGAACCATCTCTACCTGAAACAAAACACAAACAAATGAGATACACCAACACAAGGCAATGCTACCATGGTGAAAATAAATCAAATAGCCAAAAAAAAAAAAGAATAGGCTAATGGGTTTGTAGGTGTGAAAACGTGCCTGTCTTTCATCTGACAAGCTAGGACTAACAAACAGGTCACAGTAAACAAGTTGTCAGGTGTAAATGGTCGCGTCCATCAGCCAAGACAAGCCAACAATAAGCCAAGTGCCCGCACAATGGGCGGGCGCGACCCTCATCCACTGGGTTATCTCCCTTACCTAACACGAGTAAATGAGGCCAACACGACAGCCAACGAACGTTCTTTTGTTTCACACTCAACTTCCAATGTGGGCTGGGCCGATGAACGGGAATACCCGATGCCGCAGAGAATCTCCTCGGTAATCCGTCAATTAACAGCAGACACGTGACTTGTGCTGGTCATTTATCAAACTCATTTCCGTTTTTATTGGAGAGCAAATATCGCACAGGTTCAAAAATAAAGAAATGAACCTCTTGTCAGCTACTATTATCTTAGACCGATTACATTTTGACAGTAAAATTCCTCAGAGATGTTCTTGTAAAATCATGTCCAAATATACATTATTAAATAATCAGTGCAACCACCAGAACTGTTCTAGAGCAAACACAGTCCTGGCATAGAAAGATGGTCTAAAACTTTGACCCTTAGAAATGTTCTAGAACATAGTCCAGAATGGTTCCAGAACAAACACCATCTGACCTTATATTTTAACCTCCATATATGAAGGACACAGACCCAGTTATTCCTCCACTTTGTAACCTGTCAATTATCATTTCCTCTCATTAAGCTTGATGATGTCAGCGTTGTCAGGCAGGTATCTATGTCAACAATGTAGCACTGACCAGAGCCGTCAGCTATGTGGCTGTGGCCAGATTTAGCAGGGATAACAGACCGACTTGTGCAGCCAGTCAGAAAATGTCAGGGGATAGATCCGATGCTGCTACATTCAGCTGGGGGTGGGTAGGTTCTAGTCATGCTGGTACATTCAGCTGGGGGTGGGTTCCAATGTTCCCTCTAAGGACCAAGAGTGTGTGTGCAAAAAATATGTTGTGTGCGCGGTGCTAAAAATGACTTGGGCAAGTTAATACGTATTTTTAGTCTTGCAATTAAGCATAATAATGAAGGCATGCATTTTGATAAATTAATAGTATAATGTGTGTGACTTATGAAACGTATGCAATTAAATGGAGATACGAATACCATCAAAATAAATAAAAAACTAATAAAAACTTTCAGAGTTATACTTAGACAACAAGTTATATGGTCGACTTACTATGTTAAAGTAAGACAGTCATATGGTAATAATGCTAATACCATAACGGTAATACAAACACAATAGTTGCAACATTTAATAAAGCTGACTTAAAAACAAATATTAGCTAACCTTTCAGGGGCATTTATTGCAATTTCTCGCGTCTAACCTTGCATTGCTTCCACACCTTATATGCTTTGTTTAAATCCACATCCTCTCCAGCATTTAGATATAATTTAGTTTGCATCAGATTCTCCAAATGTGTGGCTTCAAGTCTATTTCGTGCTTGCACTTTTATTATGTTAATAAGGCTAAAACCTTGTTCGTAATCAGCACTGCATGCTTGGAAGGTACAATAATGTCACTTAACCTTGCCAGTGAGCTAAATTTTGTTCTTTGTTTTGACAAATCTTGCATATTCAGACATATAATTTACAGAAACAGATTTGAGTTTTTCACTTTATCGAAATTTGAAGTCATTGTATTGGATGGTAATTAACTGATCATTTGTTGTACGTAACCCGTCTTTGTACTTTATGCACAGTTCTTTGATATCTTTGACGCCGAACTCAAATGAACATTTTTTAAAACCTGTAGCATAAAAAAAGATGACCAAAACTGCAGTTCATCTCCTGGAAACCTAACATTTATATGGTCGCAGACTGATTGTATGTACTGTGTGGTTTGCCTAGTGTCGATTCTTTCGTTTAACTCACACTTTTCTTGGCTTTAATGTTCAGTGTAGTGCTGTGTTACGGCTGTCTCCAGAGCTAAGGCATCACTTACAGTAAGCTGAGTTATTCCACTAAAAACGGTATTGTAGAATACAGAATTGACCGGACGAAATTTAAAATAAAGGATTAGCATTTTATGTACTGTTATGCCATCAACTATAAGCGTGTGGAATGATGCTGCTCGAAGTTCTGTCAGTATGTTCTTTACAACAACTTCGTTGATTACTTGAACAAACTCAAAGGCGTATTTCTTACTTCGCCAACTGTCTGGTATTGAAACATACTTCCCCATGTGGTTATGAATCAGTTGTACCGACAGCATCGAGGCGTTCATCCTTATGGTAAGAAGAACATTATCCGTTAGGATTCGAACTTTATCCTCGTTTGACCGCTGGCGCTCGTTTTGCTCAATTAGTTTTCCTCGCTCAGTGTAAGTTTCAACCAGCAGATGTTTAAGGTCAGTTCCATGTGAGCGGTTGTACGAAATCGCAACATTTCCTACGTAAACGTGAGACAATAGTTGACGTTTACAGTAGTCAAGCGCCCATGATTCCCAGAGCTTTCCTGTGACCAATTCGTTGTTTATGTTGGTTTTGTTACAAGTAGTAGCAGCACAGAACTTACACTTCAGTCCAATCTCATCTGAATATTCGTAGATGCTTTCTAATTCAACCGAAACATTATTTGATATGGCGTATCGGTTGTTACTATAACTTTGAGCCATTCCAGTTTAAACGAATCTATCGCTTTTTTTTTTGTGCCACATTGTTGTACTGCTTGTTACACACATTTTTCTTTTCAACATTTTCAAATAGCACACAGTAGTGGACATTTATTCCTGATTTACCTAACCAGTCTGTGAATACTGAAACAGTTCGATCCAGGTGTACGTAATAATCCCAAGAATTGGATATATAGTATATAAATCCTTAAACCAAACAGAAAAAAAAGACATCCACCTTTAGTAAAGTAGATTTTACATCTGACTTGGGTAAACAGTCTTAGTATCAGGAGGTGGGTGGGGGTTGGGAGATGGGGGAGGGCAGTGACAATAGAAAATAAAACCTTGCATGGTCAGCTAGTAGCCACAATCCCTTTCCGGTATTAGGTGTCAGTAAACCATTAAATCAAGCAGAGGGAGGGTCACCCAGACATCACATCGGTACCCGCCCCGCTCAGTTTAGAGTGAAGTCATTAACTGGACCTGTGGTATGGCTACCGAGGTCACCCCCTCCCCCAAGTCAATGATACCCCTTGGTTTCTGTTTATGCACCAAAACACAAAGACTGTTCGTTTAACAAAACAGGCAATAAAAATGTCGCTTAAATCAAACCACTGGCCACATTTTTTTCTTATGAATCAGGCTAGCCCGACGTTCTGATAATCTGTGCGCGGGGTCAGAAAATGTCTGCGCGGCACATTTGAAAGTACTGCGCGGCCGCGCAGCCGCGCAGCTTAGAGGGAACACTGGTGGGTTCTAGTCATGCTGGTACATTCAGCTGGGGGTGGGTAGGTTCTAGTCATGCTGGTACATTCAGCTGGGGGTGGGTTCTAGTCATGCTGGTACATTCAGCTGGGGGTGGGTACATTCAGCTGGGGGTGGGTTCTAGTCATGCTGGTACATTCAGCTGGGGGTGGGTAGGTTCTAGTCATGCTGGTACATTCAGCTGGGGGTGGGTAGGTTCTAGTCATGCTGGTACATTCAGCTGGGGGTGGGTGGGTTCTAGTCATGCTGGTACATTCAGCTGGGGGTGGGTAGGTTCTAGTCATGCTGGTACATTCAGCTGGGGGTGGGTTCTAGTCATGCTGGTACATTCAGCTGGGGGTGGGTAGGTTCTAGTCATGCTGGTACATTCAGCTGGGGGTGGGTGGGTTCTAGTCATGCTGCTACATTCAGCTGGGGTGGGTTCTAGTCATGCTGGTACATTCAGCTGGGGGTGGGTACATTCAGCTGGGGGTGGGTTCTAGTCATGCTGGTACATTCAGCTGGGGGTGGGTAGGTTCTAGTCATGCTGGTACATTCAGCTGGGGGTGGGTGGGTTCTAGTCATGCTGGTACATTCAGCTGGGGGTGGGTTCTAGTCATGCTGGTACATTCAGCTGGGGGTGGGTACATTCAGCTGGGGGTGGGTTCTAGTCATGCTGGTACATTCAGCTGGGGGTGGGTAGGTTCTAGTCATGCTGGTACATTCAGCTGGGGGTGGGTGGGTTCTAGTCATGCTGGTACATTCAGCTGGGGGTGGGTTCTTGTCATGCTGGTACATTCAGCTGGGGGTGGGTAGGTTCTAGTCATGCTGGTACATTCAGCTGGGGGTGGGTGGGTTCTAGTCATGCTGGTACATTCAGCTGGGGGTGGGTACATTCAGCTGGGGGTGGGTGGGTTCTAGTCATGCTGGTACATTCAGCTGGGGGTGGGTACATTCAGCTGGGGGTGGGTGGGTTCTAGTCATGCTGGTACATTCAGCTGGGGGCGGGTTCTTGTCATGCTGGTACATTCAGCTGGGGGTGGGTACATTCAGCTGGGGGTGGGTGGGTTCTAGTCATGCTGGTACATTCAGCTGGGGGCGGGTTCTTGTCATGCTGGTACATTCAGCTGGGGGTGGGTTCTAGTCATGCTGGTACATTCAGCTGGGGGTGGGTTCTAGTCATGCTGGTACATTCAGCTGGGGGTGGGTTCTAGTCATGCTGGTACATTCAGCTGGGGGTGGGTTCTAGTCATGCTGGTACATTCAGCTGGGGGTGGGTTCTAGTCATGCTGGTACATTCAGCTGGGGGTGGGTTCTAGTCATGCTGGTACATTCAGCTGGGGGTGGGTTCTAGTCATGCTGGTACATTCAGCTGGGGGTGGGTACATTCAGCTGGGGGTGGGTTCTTGTCATGCTGGTACATTCAGCTGGGGGTGGGTACATTCAGCTGGGGGTGGGTGGGTTCTAGTCATGCTGGTACATTCAGCTGGGGGTGGGTTCTAGTC